TATATATATTATATATATATATATATATATATATATATATATATATATATATATATATATATATATATAATTTATAAAAACACATATTTATAATTTTAAAAATATAATTTATATTTTTCGTTCGCTTTGTCTTGTTTCTAGTCCAAATATCGACATTTCAAAGCGAAAAATGTTTATTTCACTTACTCCACTGGCAGATCATTTAGCTTGTTTTAAGCAAAACTTTTACTTTTGACAGTGAAAACTAAACAATATTTTTACTTGATCCAATCTTTTTCCGATATTTGGACTACAAACGAGACAAAACAAAGTAAGAAAGGCTTTTTTTTTTTTTGCATTGTGATTATTTAATTTCTGAATACTTTTAGACTTCCGGAAAACTGTCAAATAGAGCTAGTCAAACTGCACTAGACATGGCATGACTCTCGACATTTACTAAGCCTTGATTCCAGTCATTATTACTGTTATTAGTCCTGTTAGAAAATGATGGTACAATTCTCAACACTCACCAAATTATACAGTTCATTGCTTCCTACATCCAGTTCTTCGAGTTTCTGAAGTTGAGACAGAGACCTGGTTGAAACAAAGCAGAATAAACAACTATGAGCGTCTGCACACACGCACACACTGATGCAAACACACAAACTAGTATTACACTTACTCTGGTAAATATGTCAGCAAGTTCTCTCGGAGTTCCAGTGATACCAAGTTACAGAGGCTGGAGGAAAGACAGAAACAAAACACTTCTGTCAGTTAAATCTTTATTCATACTAGAGCTGCACGATTCTAAAATGAGAATCGCGATTTTTTTTTGCTTAAATTAAAGATCAGGATTTTCTCACGATTCTGTAGATGTAAAATAAAGGTATGGTAAAAACAAACATATGGCACAACATCGATAATAATATTATGTGTGGGTCTACTGGCTTCTATAAATAATTCTATTCTACTTATAATAATTCTGATGTTGAATTATTATGTTTGAGATATATGCTTGCAATCTGTCATATTAGACACATTTATTCACTGGTAAAATCAGACATTTGCCATTATCAGATTATATTCAACAATATATAGGCTAGAGTAGTTATACTGACACTGTAAACATTTATTTTCATGCACAACTGTGGGTTCGCTAAGACAGAAAAAACATATCAAATGCTTGTCGTAATCATAACTCTAAAATGTGATATGATCATTTATATGAAGTGCACACTTTCCGTTTCATTTTGACTGCTAAGTGCTTGTTCATATTTCGCGCACGGCTCCCAAACGATCTCTCTGTGCCACAAACTGAATATTATTTACAACTGTATTACCTGTTACTCGCAGCATATGCAGGTTCTGTTCACTAAAGTAGATGCGCGCTCATCTATCATTAAGTAGAGCGCGCGCGCCCGCCCTCTCTGTGATAACAGCTCACGGTCAGAAGCTCACGTCACGTGTGATTTCCCGATCACGAAAACATCATTATATTAAAACAAAAATGACATTTTTAGGTGAATTATACCTTATAAATACAGATTGTCACTCATTCACATCATTTAGAGGTGTCAATGTCACTGAGCAACATGTGTGAAACAATGAAAAGACTCTGAACTTGAAAATATGATTGGCAGAATCGTAGAAATGCTGGATTAAGATCGTCTACGGGATCGAATCGAGATCGCGATCTTTTAACGATTAATTGTGCAGCTCTAATTCATACTGAGTGGTAAATTATATGGTCATGATGCATTTCCGAGTTTGATTTATTCTTCAGAGTCACAGTTGGATAAACTTCTGTGGGAATTATGAATCGTATGTAAAAATTGAGATCACAGTTAGTGGTATTGTTAAAACATGATGTAAACATAGGCGCTGATGTGTACACAAATAATTGGCGTTTTATAGTTTGAGAACTAAATTTAGTTGTTCACGAAGTGCCATGGGATTATTAATGACCACAGAGAGTCAAGACCTCAGTTTAACACATTATCTGAAAGATGGCACTCACTGACAGTATATGGAGCCAAGATTCTCACAGAAATCAGTCAAGTTTGGTGAAGAAAAAATCATGGTTTGGGGTGACATTCAGTATGGGGGCGTGCGAGAGATCTGCAGAGTGGATGATGAACATCAACAGCCTGAGGTATCAAGACATTTGTGCTGCCCTTTACATTACAAACCACAGGAGAGGGACAATTCTCCAGCAGGATAGCGCTCCTTCTCATACTTCAGCCTCCACATCAAAGCTCCTGAAAGCAGAGAAGCTCAAGGTGCACCAGGATTGGGCAGCCCGGTCACCAGACATGAACATTATTGAGCATGTCTGGGGTAAGATGAAAAGGCTAAAGTATAAATCAGCCTTTACCTGACCCCATCCCTGAACCCAACCGTCAATAAAATGTAATCCAATTGGGTTTCAATGAAAACACCCTTCGTTTTTAGCATCACCCGCCTGGAAACTCCGATTACTCTCCTATAGACTTTACATGACAAGTCAGTGAGATGTAGTTGATGTATCCCCAGTGGGACGAACACTTAACACACACACACACATCCTAAGATAGCCATCACAAACTTCCAGAAACGAGCACACGATCTCAGCCTTGAGCCTCGCAGATGGTGCAAACACATCTCAGATTATGATTTCTGCAATTTAAAAGCAGATACGGCTTTAAGAACAACAATTACAGCCAACAGGACATCCCGGTTCACCATAAAGCAGTCCTTCAGAGATAAGCGCTTCTAGAAAAACAACTCTCAGGGTTGAAAGGTTTCGATTTTCAGTGGACGCATCTGAAAATAAGGGTCAAACTGAAAGCAGCGGTGTGTGGCTGTTTGACCTCTTGTGCGGGTCAGCTTGATTTCCAGAACAGAAACGCTGCTGTTTTTCACGACAGCCAAACAAATGTAATCTTTTAAACAAGACTTCAGCACCATCTGCAGCTCACAGCCACACACATTAATCAGCTCGGTCTTCTCAAATGAAAACCCAGAGGAGAGAGAGAGAGAGAGAGAGAGAGAGAATAAAGAGAGTGGATTATTGATGGAGGCTGTATTTCAATTCCACAAACTAAAGCCTTTGAATACTGCTGTAATAACTGACGTTCAGGATGGAAACGTCATCAGCGCTACACATCAATGTTTTGTTTGCGCTTCGGGAAATGATCAGCAGAAGCTTGAGTGTGTTTGTGGGATGTGCACATGTGTGATTGTGTTCGCTGAGAGGATCGCAATCACAAATGTTGATGTTAAAGGAGTATTAGAGCAGCTTTAAGCACTCTAGGATTGATTTCTATAAAAATGTCTCAGTCGTTCTGCCGCACTGAGCCAGATTAAACCATCTGCAAGAAAAGGAGACGTGCTTTCCCCTTTCAGACGTTATGCTTGTGTTGTGATACAGTATATATGGTTTTACAATTCTGTGACTAAAAGCATCTAAAAGTGTGCATTTATAAACATGTTTATGAAATATTAATATAATATATATATATAGATACAAATATCCATTTATAAAATACTAATAAAAAATATATGTAAAAAAGATAGTTGCTTATCTATTATTATTGAGAAGGACATACATACATACATACATACATACATACGTACGTACGTACGTACGTACTTACGCACACACGCACGCACGTATATATATATATATATATATATATATATATGTGTGTGTGTGTGTGTGTGTGTGTGTGTGTGTGTGTATATATGTATCAAATTTATATATGTATCGAAAATTTTGGAACGATACCCAGCCCAACGATAAATACATACATACATACATACATACCTATATATCTATATATATATATATATATATATATATATATATATATATATATATATATATATATATATATATATATATATATATATATATATAT